GGTGGGTCGCTGTCCGGGGTCAGCGCCCGTTTAGATCATGGAGAGACATTCGCATCCCCAGCGTGTGAGTGGGCTGTAGGAGCTGGGAACAGCTTGCAGTCTGTTCGGTTAAAATAGCCTGCGAGCGTCCTGTGTTATTACGATGCTAATTGATAGCCACAAATGGACATACTTAAAGAAGTTAAAAATGGCTCTTTGGGAGCCTGGGCTGCAGTTACAGGGAAGTGTTTGCCTCTGGAAATAGTACTGGAGGGCAAAAGGTAACTGCAACTTTCTTTTTAGCTGTGTGCTCAGGGAGGACTTCACTGAGGCAGTTGATGGTATTTCAGACAAAATAATAGATCTGTTGCTTCATGTGCTGTTGCCAGAGCAGTGACAAAGTAAAGGTTTTCCAGCTCTGTACAGATACCTTTATTTAAAGATACCTAATTTTGTGCTAGAATACATACTGTTAGATTCGACTTTATTCTCCCTTTCTTACTCCTTTCTCCCTCTCGCAGATTTTAATATTTGGATTGGCTTGCTATGTGGTGGCATTAGAAAGATTATATAGTAGTAATAGACAAGTATAAAATAGTCTGTTGGTAGGAAGAAATACCTCAGATTTGCTGGCTATAGGATTATTTTGTACTTCAAAGTATGAAGGTTTTTTTATTTTATCCGAAAAGAACAAATAGGCTCTTTAATTTGAAGATCTCTTGAACTGTAGACTCCTGGGTGGGTTTTTCCCCACTATTATATAGTTTATGCTGTAATTGTGATGTAGTTTATTCCTGTCCACTTGAGACTTGACAGGTAAACTATGTGGGAAACTTCTGATGTGCCCAGTCTAGTATCATTAAGTACTTCATGTACCGGTGTCATATTCCTAGATTTACACTGCACACTTGTGATTGTTTTTGATATTTGGCTGAGTATTACTTCCATATCTTTTTTTTTTTTAGTATGTTTATATTAAGTGCATTTAATACAAGTGATACCTTCCTTGTTTTTAGACTTGGGAGATAAACATTGCTGTCACTTGATGTTAAAAAAATCAACAGAAAAGTGTGGTAGTATCTTAAAGTAAATTTTTGTCACTTTTTATATTTATATACATTTAGATATGTACACACACAAATAATGTTAAAATCTTGTGGACTCATTCTTCTTAAATGCTGTTTGGGCAAATTTCTAGTTTTGCATGAAGAAAAGTCCCTGAACATCTGCACACCAATGGAAAGGCTTTACAGCTCAATTCTTGTAAAGAATGAAACTGCTTTCTGATATTTCATGCTATCACGGTATTAAAATACTGGGGAAAAAAAAGGCGTTGTCTGTTTTAAGTCTTAATTGCACTATTAATGAAGACAGCAGTTTTTAATCTGACCTAATCTCGGCCACTAGTTTTGTCTAAGGTGGTTGTAGTGTGTGTTTCTGATCCACTTTAAATGAATGTGTCGGCTCACTGGTAGGACACATACCTTCATAACTACCTGTGCTAGCTTAGTAGCGTTGCCTATAGCTCTGCAAGCTGAGATGCTGTAGGTCAGCAGACTTCCTGCTTAAAAAAACCCTCACAGACCAACTTTGAGACAGAAAGCCAAACTGTAGTTCCTGTTTCTCTGTTCGTTGAAGCTAACTATGACAAAGCCTTGTATTCTCATCTTTGCTCGTGTTCTGTGCAAAGGTCAAATATCTGTATTTTTAAAAATTGACTACTACCCTGTAAAACAGACAAGAACAACTTGGATGAAGAAGGAACAAGTTTAGTGGAGAACCACCAAGATGGTCAAGTGCTGGAGTACCTGCTCTGTGAGGAGGGGCTGAGGGAACTGGACTTGGTCATCCTGAAAAAGATGATCCTTTGGGAGACACCTGACAGCAGCCTTGCAGGGCATATGAGGGAGTCAGGCTCTTCAGTGGTGCATGGTGGGAGGATGAGACACAACAGGCGTGAACTGAACCAGGAGAGGTTCAGACTGATATATTGAGAAGCTATTTCAGTGGTAATAGGCAGTGGAACAGGTTGCCCCAAGATGTTGTGCAGGCTCCATCCTTGGAGATACTAGAAACCTGACAGGATATGGCCCAGAGTAACCGTGTCTGACTTCATGGTTCACCCTACCTTGAGCAGAAACTTACACTAGAAGCCTGATCATGTCTCTTCAAGCCTGAGTTATCCTATGGTGCTAGGAAAATTGAAAACATACTGGCTGGTAGGGTAGTCTGTGTATTTTTATGTATTTATATAGGCTTCCATTTTAAAATGGTGTCTGCCTCAAGTGACATGTGACTTAGTTCATGACAGTGTTATGGAAAAATGACAGCAACGCTGCAGCATGCTGGGTGATGGTTGGACCCAGGTCCTTTAACACTGAGAAGCTGGCAGTAGACTAGCATATTTCAAACCAAGAATGTAATTAAGGATTCCAGATGCTGAACTGAAGTGCCCCTACCATGTGATCTTTGGAACAGGCTCAAGAGAGATGAGTGAGGGTTGTGTCAATAGCAAGAATTCAAGTGGTAGCTGATGTGATCCAGAACCTCCTTCAGTTTGTCTCCTGCCTTGGCTTGGCTTTTTCCCTGCCTGTCTTTATATTCTGTTTGGAGACTAGATTTCCTTCTGGAACTGGGTCCTGAGTGCTTTTGCAGGTCTGTTGTCACAGGAGGATTATTGCTAGCAGCTTGATTTTTCCAGATCTTCCTTTAAACTGGAGAAAGTAAACTAAAAGGGATTAATATACTGCAGTTTTATGTTGGTGTTGATTCAGGTGATTTCATCGAGACTTTTTCTCCTTATTAAGTGGATGTGCAGAAAAGACTGAACAATGCCACGGAATGATTGAACATGACTTGATTTTGTTTTCAGGTCATAGTTGCTAGACTCCGTGCTGGTCCCAGAATTTACTACTAGTCTTGCAGTAGTGTGAAGCTAGTCTTTAACTGAGACTTTGACTGAATAACATTGGCTGAATAAGAATAAAGTCCTTGCTCTACACAGCATACTAGTTCCTTTCTCTAAATGTGTTTTAGCCCATACTTTTGAAAAAGGAAGAAAACAACCCTTCGGTTCTAGTTGTTATACCTAAAGAGGGGTTGTGAGAATACACTGTTGGAAAGCACCTGAATGCTGTTGTAGGTTATTCGCCTTGTGGCATCCCTAATATTTTGAAGTTAAGGAGTCAAATAAGTTCATAGTTGTAGGTCACAAGCATTGGAAAATACTTTTGGTATGAAATTTGGCGCTTCTGCCATGAGATTTTAAAAAGTGGCAATGTTACAACAGTTAAGGTTAAATCTGGGATGCATCAAGAGGAGTGTGGCCAGCAGGTCGAGGGAGGTTCTCCTCCCCCTCTGCTCTGCCCTGGTGAGGCCCTGTCTGGAGTACTGTGTCCAGTTGTGGGCTCCCCAGCTCAAGAAAGATGAGGAGCTACTGGAGAGAGTCCAGCGCAGGGCTACGAGGATGAGGAGGGGACTGGAGCATCTC